AGGATTGTGTTGTGTTTTTTAAACCACCTAACAAGATCTTTGAATCTTTCAAACATAAAAAAGACACCTAACCTGAGAAGTAATATAGATGTCTGATAATTCCAAAACTTTAAATGTCTCTCTTTTATTTTCTGTTTTCAGCAACCTTATTTGGTCAGGGGACCTACTTTGCTGTCAATGCCAGCTATTCAGCCAACCCCGGCTATTCAATGCCAGCTGCTGATGGTTCTCAGAGAGTATTTGTGGCCCAAGTCCTCACTGGTGTCTACACTCAGGGCAACAGCAGCATGAAGGTGCCTCCGCCTCGCAACAATCAGCCTGATGACCGTTATGATTGTTTGGTGGACCAAATAGCAAATCCAAGCATGTTTATTATTTTCAATGACAACCAGGCATATCCAGATTACCTCATTACCTTCTGTTAGTGCTTCATCATGGGGAACATTTCCTATACAGCTAACACATTTTCAACACAGCATTACCATCAGTAATCTGAATAGTCAGGCCCCATCTTATGTTAAAGACCTCATAGTACCATATCACCTCTATAGAGCACTTTGCTCTCAGACTGCAGGCTTACTTTTGGTTCTTGGGATATTTAAAAGTAGTGTGGGTTAAGATTAAATTAGGCTTAAAACCTCAATTTTTTGATAAAGCATATGTTTAGTGCAGATAACCCTCAATCCTCCTTTAGTTACACTTTAGTTTTTCCTTCCCACTCTCGGTCAGCACTGTCAACACTTGCTCATAGCACTTATCTGATGTTTGGGTGTTTCTCTTTATATCTGCATTATTATTGTCTTTATTTTACGATGTGAAGTGTCAACTTTTGTGATTTGGTGTTATATATGAATAAAACTGAATTGAATTGAACGGAACGGAATTGAATTGAATTAAATTAAACAGTGAGTGCTGCTGTTTTGTGTTGAACAACATTTTGGCGCTCCTGATAAAATGAATCTTCTTAATGTTATTCTTATTATCTTCTTATACAACTCACTATTAACTGAACAGCCAATGAAATAGTCACTCTGTGGAAAAACTGGATAAGTAAATAGTCGCTCAACCACACAACATTAAATAGCAAATAAATCCATCTTCAAAAGTCTCTGTGCTTAAATTCCTGAACTTAAATTTAAAGAAAACTGGCTGCTCAAGACAGGCCAAGTGTAACTTTGTGTTACCGTATTTACCGCACTATAAGGCGCACGTAAAATCCTTAAATCTTCACAAAAATCGGCAGTGCGCCCTATAATCTGGTGAGCCTTATAGTGCGGTAAATACGGTACTAGTTCTGCCACAGCGCAGTCTGGATTTTCCCAGCCCTTGTAGGCGGGGCTGCTGAAGCACCTTTGAATGGGAAGGACATATTTAAAGAGGCACAGATCACTGTTGATGTCGAGACAGTTCAAAGTATAATTTATGTCAGGTCTCTGGTCTTTCTGTCAATTTACACCTAAAATATGAGCATTTCAACAATGGTAATCAAACCATATGTTGAAAAACCATGTCATTATTTGTTCATGCATAATAAACTAAGCTTACTTCAACTGAACTCTAAAGTTTGGGTTCTGAGCTTTAGATATTTGTAGATTACCACTTGAAACTACATGTGAGAATGTGGAAGATCAAGACAAATCTGTAACTGATGACTTATAAGAGCACAAAAGTAACTTTAGTGTTTCACACTGAAAGATGTTTAATTTCCTCAGGAGTGAATAATAAAGGATTTGGAGTTTGTTTAGTAGCTGTAGCTTTATGAAAATTGAAAAGTGTTTTTAAAATGTATTAAATCAACAATGCCTTTTTTGCCAAGTGAATTTTTACATATACTGTTTGCTCTTAAAATAAACTCTTTGAGAAAGAAAAATCTAACATATTTATATAATTTGTTCAGCAATTTGATCTTAACAAACTGATGCCACTTCTCCATTGTTTAAAGAATCAATGTAATGTATGCTATTGTTCACTGCATGACATATGGCCATAAAGGACCTCATCACATGAATCATTCACTACCACAAATATCCTGAGCTTATTTACCTCCTTCTTAGTAAAAGTCATATCTATAGAATTTTCTTTGATGTTTTAAAGCTTGAGTTAATGACAGAGCTCACATAATTACTGGTAAAATGTCTTTCTCAAAACCATGTTAAGACATAAATATGATTTAGAGTTATACTCTGACAGCTGAAACACCTTGTAAAGTACCGGCAGAGTAGGTAGGTGAGCCGAGAAAAGCCCCTGGAAATTAAATGCGGACCTTTTGCATTGCTGGGTATACGAGTGTAAGTATGAGGATGTGATAGTTGAAAAGTGAAACTGAAACAAAAACGGGCACTCACAGAGCGGCACAACGAAGTTTTAGACGGGCTGAAAGTTCTCATGTTAGTGTAGAATTGCAGATAAAATGGATGAATATCCGTATCCACTGTTTTTTGAAGCCACTGACTTTACAGACAGAGAGAAGGAGAAAGTGAGGAGATACTTTCAGAAAAGGCGAGACTCCGGGGGTGGCGACTGCGGAAATGTAGAAAAACTCGGAGGAAGCGTTTATAAAATCTGTTTCAAGGAAAAAGAAGGTAGGGCAGTCAGTTATTTGTAAAATATTTTTTGGGGATTTTTGTTTAATTGCAGGCTGTTTCAGTGACTCTGTTTATGGTGGCTTTAGATCAAGAGAGAGTTTTGCAGAGGAAGTTTCACACCATCACTCTTCCGAGTGGAGAAGTGCGGCTGACCGTGAGCCGGACAAATTCGCAACAGACCTCTGACCAGCCATCGCCAAGCCAATCACTGGTACAGTTTACTGCCCTTTCAAACATGACTTTTGGTTACAGTAAAAACTGAGCGCCAGAACAAAATAACCAAACCAAACCAAGAGAACGGAGTTAGCCTCCAGGGAAAGTTGAACCGCTGAGGACAATATTGACAAAAACAGATGATTTTAAAATATTTTAAACACACTGTAAGTACTGCAAAGAATACATTCTAAATAGTAAAACTCTCTCTTTTAAAAACTACACGATCATTAAATTTGATGCCAGGGACAAATTTACAGAATGTGTTTGTTGTTTTAGAAGAATGTCAGTGATGTATCACTTCCTCTTCTTACAACATTTGGGCAATGGACACATCAGCCACTTTAGTTATGGAAGTATATGTTTGCTCCACTTTTGCTGTGCCATCTTTGTTATTCATCGTTATTATTATGCCTCAGATGTTTTCAGTGGCTGACAGTTCTCAGGCTTCTTTAACTTATGAGTCTCGCTTTTGATACAAAGTTTAAAATATAAGTGTAGTTTAGTGTTGTTTAAATAAGGAAGCCCTTCCCTGAAAAATACATCATGTGGATAGCACAGCATGCTTTTGCATTAAAGCCTTTGTAGACAAGTAAGTAACCCATGCCATGTATGTCACTCCACCTCCATACCATCAAAGATAATGCTTTTCAAAACATGGGTGACAACAGGCAAGATGGTGATACACTCATGGGACACTTTACTATTTGATACACCTTGATAGTACCAAGTAAGACTTCAGTACTGCTTTAAATCTTTGCTGTTAGTTTTTGATTGTAATGAGTTGTCATTTGAGTTACTTTTTCTTTCCTATCAGCTCGAAGCAGTCTGGCCACTAAACTAGCACACAGATAAAAAAAAAAAATCATGTTTTAAATGATTCACAAATTATTTCATTCTGCTTTCATTTACATGGTACACAATAGACTAATTGTTTTAGAAACAGGGTTGTGGTGTATTTCTGTTATAAGACAGTGTCATAGTCAGACATTACAAAGAAAAACAAAAACATATTAACAGAAATGTTAATGTTAATGTCAATAT